GTACCAACAATAAGCATAACAATAGCAAGACGAGGTACAGGACCAGTTTCTAATATTGTATTCATTTCCGCCTGTTGAGTACTAATCATATGTTGACGTTCACTATCTTCATCTATCTCAGAAGTTTCATATAACGCATCTGTTTTCATCTTGTGAAATGAATCAATAAAAACATCGATAAGTCCATCGGAATCATTAAAACTTGCTGTATAATCAAGAAATTGTCGTCGTCTTTTTAATGTCATTTCATTAACATCATCATAATTTACTCGACCAACACAAACACGTGGCAGAAATATCCGAGTATTTAATGAAATTGTACGACCTTCTGCTGAACATATAACAAGGATATTAGGTGAATCAATTCGTATATGTTTTGTTAATTCAATTGTTGCTGGAAGATAACCCGAATAGATTTTTATTTCATTTAACCATATAATTACTGATGGAATTTTAATTTCATTTTCATCGTCATCATAATCATAATTTTCTTCTTCAATTGTATAAAAACTCAAATAAATATGTTGCTGATAATCGGGTTTATTTTTCCATTCAAATGTTTTACGATACCAATATATAAATGAATCATTGGGTTTTTCATTATGTGGTAAATCGATTGTTTTCCATTGTTGATCATTATAATTTATTAACATAAAATTTTCATTTGATTGTGAATTTTTAATATGATAATATTTCCAATCACGACCAAAATGTATAACAACCGTTGATTCTTTATTATCATTCGTTATAATCGTACTCATTATTTCTAATAAAGAGAAAAAAGTGTTGAAATTAAGTATTTATATTATGAAACACGAAAAAAACATGATAGTATATTAAACAGCAATGACTAATATGAGAAATATGTGGCCACAAAAAAAGAAAAGTCTTACAGAAGTATTAGAGAAAAGCATGTTTGTCATCATGTTCGCACTGAATCACATGCATTTTTTTTTCTTTTTCTTCCGTCAGTAAGCGGAGGATCATTTTCGCTCTCACATTATACATGGTTTATTTTCTTTCCTCCCTCTCAACTATGTAACTGTGATGTGACTATATTTATTACAGAAAGAATAGAAAAAAAAGAAGAAAAAGGCAACTCTTCCGTCTATTCCGAAGACAAAACGATTGGAAGGAACAAATCAAATATGAGTTTTCTTATAATTTTGTTATTGATAAAGGCACATGTACAATACCAAGACGTTGAAGAAATTGTGTTTTTATTTGGCTAATATCTTCTTGAATTAATGAAAAACTCATGGCTGTAAGTAAGACACCAAATAATAAATACATTGCACAAAGAATTGATCTGCCATTTCGATGACTAATCGTTTTTTCACCTGGTACTAAATCTCCAAAACCAATTGTAGTAAACGTTATAAATGAAAAATAAGCACCATCAATATATGACCAATCTTCCCAAGTAGCAAATAGAATCGAACCAGCAATTAAATAAAGAATTAAGAGTGTTACTGGTACGTAAAATGGTACTTTGCGATGTTGATAAACCTAGAAAAGCAAATAACAGTTTTTTTCTTTATCATAAATTATCAATATAATATATCAATACTGTCAACTCATTTTTTTGATTAATATATCACAATTGTCATATTTATTTTATTTCAAAACTTCACTCAACAATATAATAAATTATATTGTTTAGTTGTAAAATTTGATCTTATACTGACTTTTTTTCGCATTTGTCTTTTTTTGTGTTTTGTATATTGAAAACATCGCCGTAAACGTCGATAATATTGTGATACTAATAATGCTAATGATTCTCCTACTAGTTTTAACCATGAAACAACTAATAAAATGCCAATTGAAGCATCTAATAAGAAGAATGAGAAAATTCCTAAGAAATCAAATGTGATATCTTACAAATAACTGTAAAAATTTTTCCCATTGCTGTTTTAGGTGAAATATTTCCATAACCAATTGTTGTTACTAATGTAGCTGCATAAAGTATAGCCGTTGAATATGTCCATTTATAAACAAATTTATCTACAGCAATATGTCGTGAAGCTAAATGTGATGATAAGTTTTCTAATTCAAATGTTGTTCGATTATCTAAGAGATTTGCTCGTTCAATATTTAAAATTATATAATTTGATAACATTTTATCTTCCCATCTCCATTGTTGATAAGCACTTTCAAAATTTTCATTTAATTGTTCATTTAATAGTTGAACAGCATATAAACGAATATTTTCATAGGTTTCATTTATGATTTCTTTTCGTTCATCATCTTTCTTTAAATAATATTGAGATTCCACGTATGAAAAAAATAGTCCACCAAGTATAAGATAAATAATTACTGAAATTATTAAACTTATTTGATGTAATATATATCGTAATAGTAAACATTGACAATGTGAAGAAGAAGATTGATTATCTTAAACATTAAAAAATTATTTCAAAATATATATATGCAGAAAAAAATAATCGTACTTGATTGAACTAAATGTATATCTCCTTGTTTATCAAACTCAAGTAAAGGCACTGTTGAATGCATCTATTTTTTCTCATTCGATTAATGGAAAAAGAATCATCAACAAATGGTCCTTATATGTAGATTATTATCAAATCTATTGTGTTAAATCAGTCAATAAAATGAATTAACATCTGTTCCATATTTTTTTGTAAGATAAAGAGTATACTCTCATCTGATTATGTATTTGATGGTGCACCATATGAAGACTGTCATTGAAAGTAGGAAAAAAAGCATGCGATTGTTTATATCTTTAGTCTTCTAGTTATATTGATAACAAAATGTAGTGTAAGTAACATGTTGTAATAATTAGTCTTCAGATCGAATACTAATTATAGTAAAAATATTGTAC